AAATAAATAGACAAAAATTTAAAGCACACATAGGCATACCTTGGTGATACGGCGAGTTCAGTTCCTGACCAAACCTATATACATTCGAGGGTATAGTTCCATTCTCCTTCCCACACCTGTTCAGCTTGGTTATGTATCTACTTATAGATTATTCTTATTACTGCTTTGCAGGATTGTGTATTAATCATATTTATCTTTGTTGTCCTTAACTCTTGTGCTCCTCCCATGTCTTCCTATGTCTTGATCACTTTGTGCTAACCTCCCCTTTATTGTATATTGGCTTTCTCTTCACCCAAGTTATTATGTGTCTGCCTTCTAGGTAATGATTTACCCTCCTTTCCTCCCACCCCTGGTAAACTTCAAAGAATCTTTGCATAAACGTTTTCCTACAGTAGTAGTCCCATAAAATATTTGCCCTTTTGTGATTAATTTTACTCAGTATAATGTTCTCTAGGTTCATCCATGTTATGAGGTGTTTCACAGATTCATCAATATTCTTTAACATTGTGTAGTGTTCTATTCTGTGTATGTACCGTGGTTTGTTTATCCATTCATCCATTGATGGGCACTTAGATGGTTTCCATCTTTTCGCTGTTGTGAATAAAGCTGTGATGAATGTGGATATGCATATATCTGTTCATGTCATGGCTTTTATTTCTCTAGGATATATCCCTAGTAGTGGGATTGCTGGATCATAATGGTATTTCTATTTCCAACTTTTTAAGGAAGTGCCACACCATTCTCCACAGTGGCTATGCCATTTTACAATCCCACCAGCAGTGTATGAGGGTTCCAGGTTTTCCACACCCTTGCCAGCATTTGTTGTTTTCTATTTTTTTGATCTTTGCTGTTAATGTTGGTGTGAGATGATATCTCTTTGTTATTTACTTTGCATCTCCAATGGCTAATGATTTCCAGCGTTTCTTCATGTGTTTGTTAGCTGTCTGAATGTCTTCTTTGGTAAAGTATCTGTTCTTGTCCTCTGCCCATTTTTTAAAAAATTGAATTGTCTTTTTGTTGTTGAGGTGTTGAAGTTTTCTATAAATTTTAGAGATTAGTCTCTTGTCTCATACGTTATTGCCAAAAATTTTTGCCCAGTCTGTAGGTTCTCTTTTTACTCTTTTAGTGAGGTCTTCTGATGCACATAAATGTTTAATTTTTAGAATGTCCCAGTTGTCTAGTTTGTCTCCTAATATTTAAACTCATGTCTTTAAAAAAATTATTATAATTATTGCTATCAAATAATGAAATTTATATGTTTCCTTTTTTTCCTCTCCTCAACCTTTGGACTTTACTGGGATGTCTCTTTTCTTCTTGACATTCAGCATGTAAGTATTTTTCACATATTCTTTATATTCCTCTCTTCACTATGCCTTTACTTTTAGATTTTCTTTTTTTAAATAATGGAAAATGTATACAAGTAATACATAACTGCACTAAAATACTGCTGTTGATATAAATAAATCTTAAGATGTATTTGTACATATAAATATAACTAATTGCTGATAATAGGGAAAATGAGAAAAACTAGTCATGGAAAGGAATGTTTTGATTTCGTTTTTCTTTTTAAGGGCAGCCCTCTAGATAAAGTTGCCCATTATTGCAAGAAGGATTTCTTATTGTTTTTGTTTAAAATGGTTTACTTTCCATTTTGGATTTTTCTGCCATCTTCTCTCATTATATTTCTTCATTATTGGTGATTTGAAATGTATGACACTGATACTTAGTGCTTAAGTTAATTCTTTCTGCAGGACTTAATAAAATAAGTTTTACATGCCAGTTAGTGCCACAACTGCTATGAGAAGTGATTAAGACAATCTGAGGGGAGTTAAAGATTAAGATTTTAGGGTGGACACAGAAATACAGTAATCCTCAATTTTCAAGTCAGCTGTTTGGGCTATGGAATGCATTATCTATAGAAACTGTTTGTGATAATCTGTGTGTTTCTAGAATCTAGTACTAAAAAATATTACCTGCAAGCAGTTATCAGTGACCTACAGTGAGAGTAAAGAAACACAGTATTTCTTCTCCCTTTCCTGGGCAGGAAGCTGACCGTGTAGAAAGGTGTCTGTATTAGGGAGGCTTGTTGGCATTCTTTCCTTTCTTTGGGCCCCTCTCTGCTCATGCTTGATGGGTGCTTCATGTTGTCCCAGGTGTACCTTTAAGTAGCTTGCTAGCTAAGCCCTTTCTCTCCTCAAAATGCTATGGACTCCATGCTTCAGGGCCATTGAGCTTGTGTGAAAGATGAGGAGGAAATTTGGAAACAGATAATGTTAATGGTTAAATAACATATGCAAAAACGGCAAGGAGGCCACATGTTCTGACCTTCTCTAATCCCACAAGAGGAAGACAGGATTACCAGCAGTAACCCAAGGCCTATTACTGCAAGGCCAGACATGCTGCCTCCCTCCAGCCCTTTCACCAACCGTTCTTCCCAAAGCACCCACCACCTCTCTCCTGGGTTCAATAATTCGCTGCAGTGGCCACGCAGAACTCACGCATTACGGGATTTATTAGGGAAGCACCAGGCTACAACTCAAGTTCAGGAAGAATGCTCAGTCTCTCTCCCAGCCCAACGTCCCTCAGCCAACAGTCTCTCAGTCTTTTTCCCAGCAGTGCTGGTCCCTCGGTGTCTCACTCAGCAATGCGTGTCTCTCGCGTCTCTTTCCCAGCAGCACGTGTCTCTTTCAGGGGCACGTGTCTCTTTCAGGGGCGCGTGTCTCTTTCAGCAGCACATCTTCCTCCAGCAGCAGTAAGAGAGAGTTCTGCCTCCAGGAGGCCTCCTTTTGAGCCCAGAAGGGTGGTCAAACTAGCCAATCACAGCATCAGAACTCTAAGCATGAGGGGGAGAGAGAGAGAGAGAGAGAGAGAGCTAGACAATAAATTGGCAAAAATGTAACACAGCACACCACTCTTCATACTTAAGATTTATTTCTTTGTTTTAGAAAATGTAGTTACTGTTCTTTTTAAAAATGTTCCTAGGTATAATGGGCTTATTGTTTTGAAATGAATTTAATTTCTCAGTTTGAATTTCAAGCACAGTGGTTATAATCCACATAAACTAAAGCTCTCTGGGGTCTTCCATTTTTAAGGGTATGAGGGGTCATAGGGCCAAAACATGTTGAGAACCTCTGTGCTGTCCTTAGCAGTTTCTGTTTCTCATAGCTCCTCTCATTCTTTGGAGTTCTTGGGAGTTTTGGACACAGTGGAGATTTATCTCAGCCTTTATTCTGTTCAGAATTGCCTTTATATTTGGAAATTTTATCTGTCCCCCTAAAATATGTCAACTCCTACTCTAGATTCTTTTTTTTTCCCCCTGCTCTAGATTCTTAACTGGAAAGATAGTAAGTTAAGGTCATTACGCTGGTAGCATAGTGGCTAAGGCACTTGACTGCTAACCAGAAGGCTGGTGGTTCAAATCCACCAGCCACTCCTCAGAAGGAAGATGGGGCAATCTACTTCCATAGTGATACTTCCTCAGAAACCCAAGGAGGGGTTACTATGAGTCGGATCCAACTTGAGGGCACATAACAACAATAACAACAACACACTTTCAATACCACATTTGAAGAATGTATTGTCATTCATTTGTAAGTGCCACCTTCTGTTTGCAGAATCTGGATCCTAGTTTATTTTTTTCCCGCTAGTTTATTTCTTAGAAAGCTTAAAGGCATTTTTTTTCTCCCTTGTTCTGGGGAGGTCATATTTTTAAAAGAAGTAGTTGAACCTGAATTTGAAAAATAGCTACATGTAGTAAGAACCATGTTGTTGTTGGATGCCAGCAATTCCAGCTCACAGCAATTGCATGTGACAGAGTAGAACTGCCCCAGAGTGTTTCCTTGGCTGTAATCATTACAGAAACAGATTGCCAGGTCTTTCTCCTGTAGAGCCACTGGGTGGGTTTGAACCACCAACTTTTCAATTAGCAGCCAAGCATTTAACTGTTGTGCCACCAGGGTTCCTTGGTAAAGGCTGTGTATGTGGTTTAAGTTATTTGAATCTTGCTACCTGTTGTTCTAGTACCTTTAAAAATTTAATTTTGCTATTACATGGAAATGATTAACTTGAGTAATATAATAACTTAAACATGTTGAATATTTCTCTTTTTTTTTTGTAGTTAAGCAAAACTGGTTCTAAAGATGATGAATAACGCTTGGAATTTGACACGAGAACATCCTTTTAAAAAGCAAACAGGTCAAAATCTTTCACTACTCTTTTCTGGTATTGAGGTGGCTTTTTATAAAACAATTTTTTATATGTGTCTTGTATTAAAAATGTTTTAAGCTAAAAGTTCATGAAGAGATCTGGCTGTATTAAATTATCTTCACAAACTTGCCTTAAAAGGTGAAAATGCTAATGATTAGTATACTGTACACAGCTTGTCGAGTATTGTAAATGGACCAATAAGGGGATTAGTAAATAGCCAGTGTTAATTTATATGACCGTATTGTAGTGGATGTGATAAAGGAGTGTGAAGCCCTTTTCAAACCTTTATCCCAGTGGAGTAGAATACTGAGTGAACTGTTAATTTGGCAGCATGATCCATATTGATAGGCTTCTCATCTTAAATAAAGGCTTCATCTCTTCTTTCTCTTAATTACTGAAGCATGAGTTGCTTCAAAGAAATTGAAATACTGGTATTTGGACTTTATACATAATACTCTTTGTAGTTCACTTTTATTTCTCAAGGGTGAACTGCTCTTTAATAAATGAATATCTATTTATACTTTTCTCTTGGTTTTTGTCAAAATGTTTAATCATGAGAATTTTCACTGGAATGTTATGGAATAGGAGAGTATTAAAAAAAAAATCTGCCAAATACATATCGTTTTAAATAGAAATGCTGACTTTCATTTGAAATATTTCTCTTTGCTGCATATACCATGATGGGTTAAAAGATGCCTTAATATTTAATTTTTTTATTGTTGGTAACAGTGATTAATAAATTCCTATTTATCTGCTATTATGTGTTTTTAGTTGTTTCATAATTGAGGTTGTCTAAATGGTTTAACTTAAAACACATTCAAATTTTATTTTTTTTTCAGAGTGCCTTTTCAAGTATACAAACTTATTTGTGAGCCTGAGCACCTTTGTCATAATATACAAAAAGTCTTTCAAATTCTGAAGTTTTTTAAAGTACATGCTTGATTTTTAAAAATGTTTAATAGAAGAAACTATTGGTGTAGTATTAACATATCAGGAAAAGTTATTGATGTTTATGTGCAATTTGTATATACCTCCCAGCTTTAAAAACACTTAGAATTACTAGGTGGTATTAGGAAGAACAAAAATGTTAGTTCCCCCAATTATACATGTGAAGCTTGGGTCTGACTGTTTTTAAAGAATCATTAACTTCTGAAGAAGTTACTCTAGCATACACGTAGTTTTCTGAGTTGTAGGCATGGTTTTTACTGGGGTTAACACTGGCTTCAGTTAAATCTTTTGAATTATTAAGTAAGTATGATTATAGTGAAGGAGTTTAATCTCTTTTGCAAAAGCTGAATCACATTCTATTTCCTGAATTAATATGATGGAAACATTAAAATTCAAGATCACTGTAATATGCCAACTTTTGAGGTTGCGTGTTTGTAGTTTTTGTTGTTGTTATTGTGTGGATTTGTTTGTTTCTAGTATTTAAAAAAAAAAAAAAATCAAAACTGCTTAGTGAAGATTCCAGAATTGTTCAGGCTTATTGTGGTTCATCAGTTACAAAGAATGCTAGTTAAATGCCAATGAATTATTTTTACTCTTTATATGACATATACAAACTTCTGGGGAGGTGGGGTGTGGCAGTGGTGCCTCTTATTACCTTAGGTAAAACACTTGAACATTTTCATCCGTATTGCTGTCATCTGTTTAACACTCCCAGTATATTTTCTTAAAATCTGCTTGTTCAGAATTGTGTGGAATGACAAAACTAATGAGCAATAAAATTGCAATTGCACATAATGATTTTTCTGCATGTTTTATTTTGAATCACTTGAGAGAGAATCTTTGGTTATATAGATTTGCATAGCCCTAAGGTATGAGATATAAACACTATTCAAGTACTAACCAGAAGATATTTAAAATGTTGGATTAAAAATGTTCATTTTTTAAGATGTGTAAACAAGCTAACTTTATTCTACAAGCAATGGGGACTCCATGCAGGTTTTTAAAATAACATTTTTTTCTTTTCAAATTTTTAAAACATGTGCATTATGGAACACTGAAAAGCAAAGAACACAAAAGGCATCCAAAATCATTTTGATGATTACAGTTTGGCATATCCTTCTACATTGTATGTATATATATATACAACTGAGCGTAGATTCTTAGGTGGTTGAGGTCACACAGTATGGATTCATGCTTTTTCATACTCATCATGAATATTTAAGAATTCAAATTCCAAAAAGTAGTGAATATTTTGTCAACCATGAGTACACTACACTGACTCAATCAGAAAGAAAGAAAAGAAATCCTGCCTTTCTTGGGGACAAAATTTCATAAAAGACAAAATGGTAACAGGTCTCTAGATAAAAATATTGGCAGTTAAAATACTGCATTCCCTTAATGCTCAATTTAAAATGAAACATGAAGCAATACAGTTCAGTAAGTGTAATGCTTCTCAACTCTCAGAAACTCAGTGCCGTCAAGTCGATCCAAGTCATAGGACCCCTCCTTGGATTTCTGAGGCAGTATCACTATGGAAGTAGATTGCCCAACCTTCCTTTCAAGGAGTGGCCTTAGGCCACTGTGCCACTAGAGCTCCCATAATGCTCTTAAGACGCTTAATATCAAATCTGTAACTATTAAAATACTGCAAGGTGTTTCCATTGATTTTAACAATGTAATTCTATAATACAGCCAAGAGATGCAAATATACATCGCTGATTATCAAAATACGAATATGGACATGTCTGCCTATATCTCTCCCCTTGCACTTCTTCTGCCCTGCTGCAGCCAACCTAGTTAATCTTGATGTACACTGCTCAGAGGTAGTTTAACAATTCCATGCCCAAGATGCTTTCGTACTCAGTATAGAGTGCTCAGCAAGCTCCAAGCTCACTGCGGTCGAGTCAGTCCCCACTCATAGGGACTTCTCCTTGGGTTTCCAAGGTGGTGTCTCTATAGAAGTAGAGAGATACTTAAAAATTGGTTAGCTTACTAACACTACTTTCTATCATACATTGTCACCTTAAACCAAAAAAACCAAACTCAGTGCCATTGAGTTGATTCCTACTCGTACCAACCCCCTTTGGGTTTCCAATCTGAAAAGCTTGTTGTTAGGTGCTGGAGTCAGCTCTAACTCATAGTGACCGGAATGTTGTAGAAAGGAGGCTCTTTGCAACCTGTCCTGCAGAGCCAATTATCACAGCAGGTTGAAGCTGGAAAGCAAAAAATTTACTGAGTATCAATCAAGGAGACTGACAGAATTATTCCTCTAAAAAGTCTGTCTCCCCAAGCTGGGAAATGGTTAGGGTTTTTAAAGGGAATTGGGCTAAGGGGTAGGAGGATTTGAGGAATGCTGAGAATGTTTTCTTATTGGGATGAATTATTGTTCCTTTGTGACCTCTCTTGTTGTCAGTGATAGAAAGCCAGCCGTGCTTGGTCAAGAGAAAGTATCGTTCAAGTTCCTCATACCTGCCTAGAAAGGTTAACTCTACAAGGAGGGGAGAGTATGGGCATGGGCACTCAGACTTCTTGGTCCACCAGTGATGTCTCAGGTTTCTCCTTTATCTTGGTTGCTCCAGGCTTGGTTTCTCCTTTCTGAGGGTCATCTCACTCCATAAACCACAATTACAAGCTACAAACAGGGAATGAGTTTAAGCCAGATAGATGCCCAAAGGAATGTGTGAGGAGAAGAACAACCTAAAGTTACTATCCTGTTCATGTAGAGGGAAGGAAGGGACAAAAGAAAATGAGAGAGTTAATTGTTGTTAGTATTTACTCTAATCATAGTTTGTTATATTTCTGCAATTTTTCAGCAAATAGGCTTCTGTGGCCCTTCAACACTATGTATGACAGAAACAGTGCCTGGTCCTGCACTATCCTCACAGTCCTTGCTATGCTCGAGCCCATCGTCACAGCCACTGTGTCAATACATCTTGTCCAGGGTTTTCCCCTTTTTCGCCAACTGTCTACTTTACTGAGTATGATATCCTTCTCCAGGGACAAGTCTCTTTTGACAACATGACCAGTAGGTGAGACAAAGACCTGCACTTCTAGGACAGATATGTTTGTTCTTCTGGCAGTCCATGGTATTTTCAATATTCTTTGCCAACACCACGTAATTCAAAGATACCAGCTTTTCTTCAGGTCGTCTTTATTCATTGTCCAGCTCTCACATGCATATGAGGCGATTGAAAATACAATGCTTGGGTCAGGCCCACCTTAGTCTTCAAAATGATATCTTTGCTGCTTAACACTTTTTAAAGAAGTCTTTTATTTCAATTTTTATTGTGATTGCGGTGACAGTTTACAGAGCAAATTCATTTTCCATACAGCAGTTCACATACACTTTGTCTTATGACATTGACTGCAGTTCCCACAATGCAACAACTCTCTTCCCACTTCCCCATAGTTACCTCTCTCCTGTGTCCTTCCCTCCCATGCACTCCTGCCCCAGCTGTCTCCCTATGCACACAAAGCCATTCTATTCTCCCATGATTGATCTCTTCAAGGAGTGTATCTACTGTATATGCCTGTCTTTTGTTTGGCTGGAAGCCACAGGAGTAGGTTCAATTCCACACCTGAAGGGCAACTGGGGGCCATAGTCTCAAAGGTTTCACCAGGCTCTATCAGGCCAGCAGACCAGGTCCCTTTTTTTTTTTTTTTCAAATGATTTTGAGTATTGTTCCCCATTGTTCTCCCACTCTATCCAGGATCTCCTGTGGTAGCCAGGCACCATCTAGTTCTTCTGGTCTCGTTGTCATATAGGCTGAGGATCACATGGTGTACCATTCCCTTGGACTGATTGTTTCTATGTGTCTTTGGTTTTCTTCATCTCTGTCCTGGAGGAGGAGAGACCCTTCGTTGCATCTAGATGGCTGCTTGTAAGCTTTTAGGATCCCAGTCGCTACTCACCGAAGTAGGATGTGGAACAGTCTTTTTGTGTAGTATGTTACGTTAGTTGAGCTTGATGTCCCCTGTGACCATGTCCCAAGCCCACAGGTCCAACTATTCACTTCCTCTGGGTAGCTGGCTGTGGCCAAGAAGTGACTACAACCTTGTCCCTTGTCAGCTCTACTATACACTGGAAATTTAAAGAGGTCTTTTTCAGCAGATTTGCCCAGTGCAATAACGTTTGATTTCCTGACTGTTGCTTCCTTCAGTGTTGATTGTGAATCCAAAATTAAATCTCTGGCAACTTCA